CCCAACCCGGCACTCAACAACCACCCCATGCAAACCCGCTCCAAAGCCGGCATTTTCTGCCCTAAACAAATCCTTAATCTCAACACTTCTGTCCCCATCTCCCCCTTACCCCCAACCTACCGTAGTGCACTAAAAGATCCAAACTGGCACGCTGCTATGTGTGATGAATTTAATGCCTTGATTAAGAATGACACATGGGAATTAGTGCCCCCCTCCCCCTCCCAAAACCTTATCACCGGTAAATGGCTTTTTCGACACAAATTTGGCCCCTCAGGTGAGTTATCCATGTACAAGGCCCGTTGGGTGGTTCGTGGTTTCAACCAACGTTTTGGCGTTGATTATGACGAGACCTTCAGCCTCGTTGTCAAGCCTGCCACTGTTCGTATGTCAAAAATGCATTCCTTCATGGCCAACTACAGGAGACCGTTTATGCCAGCCAGCCTTCTGGGTTTCAGGATCCCAGTCGCCCTCATTATGAATGCAAACTCAAGAAGGCTCTTTATGGTCTTAAGCAAGCACCACGCTCTTGGTTCCACAGATTTGCAGGTTTCATACAGACCATTGGCTTCCGAGGATGCAAGGCCGACACTTCCCTATTCATTTTCTCACAGCCCGTGGGCACGGCCTATCTGCTCTTGTATGTAGATGACATTGTACTCACGGCATCCTCCCCGGCACTACTTCAGAGTCTCATTCAGCAGCTTAAGGCCGAATTCTCCATGACAGACATGGGTGATCTGCACTTCTTTCTTGGGATCAATGTCCAGCGCACAGCCACCGGCCTCTTCCTCCACCAGACTCAGTTCATTCATGATATTCTCGAGTGGGCAGGGATGGTCTCTTGCCGCCCCATCTCTACCCCGGTGGATACGAAGGCAAAACTATCTAGCACAGCTGGCTCAGCGCTACCCGATCTGTCCTTTTACAGGTCCATTGTCGGTGCACTGCAGTATCTCACCTTCACTCGTCCTGATATCACATATGCAGTTCAGCAGCTCTGCCTACACCTCCATGCACCACGCGATGCACATCTTACTGCCATGAAGCAAGTTCTTCGCTATCTCAGTGGCACTGCCACTCACGGGATCCATCTGAGACGATCCGCCACCGATTATTTACAGGCTTACTCCGATGCTGATTGGGCAGGCTGCCCTGACACCAGACGCTCCACATCAGGTTACTGTGTTTTTCTGGGCGACAACCTCGTTTCCTGGTCTTCCAAACGTCAGGCCACCACCTCTCGTTCTAGTGCCGAGGCAGAATATCGGGCCGTTGCCAATGCAGTTGCAGAGACCTGCTGGATCCGGAATCTACTTCTTGAGCTGCAACACCCACTTTGTCGCGCCTCACTCGTCTTCTGTACCAATGTTAGTGCTGTCTACCTATCATCAAATCCGGTGCAGCATCAACGCACCAAGCACGTCGAGGTTGATATACACTTTGTACGCGATAAAGTGGCGCTTGGCCAGATCAAAGTCCTTCATGTTCCTTCGTCCTCTCAGTTTGCCGACATCTTCTCAAAAGGACTGCCCTCTCTTTTATTTCTAGACTTCAGAGAAAGCCTGGGTATCCGACCCCCAGCACATCCGACGTAGCCGGGAGTGTAACGCCCTACACACCGGCCTAGTTTTAAATAAATAAATATTATTTATTTATTGAGACTCATTGTTTTAAATATTAAATATTGTGATTTTGACCTCATTAAATGGACTTCAAAAGTTAATGTTGTTTTAAAAATAAAAAGGATGTTTTAATAACGGACCTCTCGACATTAATTAATTAAATAAATTAATTAATGATTGGGGTGGACCCTGATGTTGAAAAAAATAAAGTTCTTAGAAAAATTATTTGAACATGACATTAAATTCATTTTGACTGTCTGATTCAAAAAACATAAACGGGCTTCAATTTGGACCCGTTTGGGGGAAAAACTGCGTACCGTTCAGCTCAGGTTTTACACAACGGAGTAAATTTTAGGGAGATAACTCCCCATCCAATCCTCTCCCACGCCACACTCTTCATCTCCCATAACCCCCCATTCATATCCCATCATAATTTCTCCATAAACTCCCATAACTCCTCATGGTTATAAAACTCCTCTTCC